TAATTGTCCTCCGTGAACGCGATATCTCCGCAATAAGTTTTCCGTGGGAGCGGATCGAGCAAGTTCAGCGAAATTCCGCCGTTTCATTGGATCGCGGAACGTTTGCCGCGAACTGGAACGGGTCACCGGAACGGCACCGAGATTCATAAGCGATACCGGACAGAAAACGGAACTTTTCTCCGCCGTCGGCGTTAACGCCTCAGACGGGACAAAGCCCGGGCAACTTTTCGAATTACAGCCACGCGCTTTCCGCTAAACGGAACTCGGCACAGACCTTTTAAACCGCAGAGATGCCCGATAAGAGAAAGTTATTCTTTGACAGAAGTTTCCGAGCGGCCAGCGACGCGCAGCGGAAAAACATTTCGAGGCGAAGAAAACTGTCTCAAGGTTACCTTTGTGCCAATTACCTCGTCCGTGTCTTGCACCAACGAAACACCGACTTTTGCGTCCATTTTTCACTCGAAATCGAAAATATCGTTCCACGGGCACGTTTAAAGTCACTGGGGTTATCGAGATCCTACTGTTGGGAATTTCGGGAAGGAAATCGAAATGATTAGCATAGGGAAGTAGTCGTATTCAGTCGTACAGCAACTGGATGTGTAAAGTTTAATATAAGCGAAATGTATACCACTGTGCAATATGTAAGCTGCCTGCACTGTTCCGGATTTGAGAGTGAGAGCAGCGAGAGACAGCAGGTTCTTTTAAATCTCAAAAATCGACTCCTTGATGCCTGCGTAGTATCTTGAGGTCCAAAGGTCGGTGTTGGCCTGCAAACTCTAACAGGCCTGTCGCCATCGTTGCATAGGCGTAGCTAGTTTCCAACACCTATGATTGGCGGTTAGGCTTCACCGAGGGTCATCGTCGATGAAGATCATTCGAACTCGAGCTCTGTCTATTCCATTAGGGTATACTATCGTCCTTGCATTCGGAACTCGAGACATTCCTCGAGTCCAAGCACTCGAGAATAAAGTTCCCGACGTCCTGACACGATGCATCGAAGCGTAGTGAGTCTGCTCTTGATTTCTCGGAGTCACTCTGGTCGCTCCGACGAATTACCCGCTACATTTTAACACCCTGGCCCGGCCCCGGCGCGAACGATTTGCCTTTAAATTCCACGGTGGGAAGGTAGGCGAACAAACCTGGGTTAGAAGGACGTGGTCCTAACCCGGAACTCTCTCGCCTCGTTAACGTTTCACTGGCTCGGTCAGCTCGGAGTTTGGCTCGATCTCCGGAGGAAACGAGGATTCCCTTGAACATCGGAATTCGTGAAACAAGCTCAGTGGACTGGGTCCGGCTGACGATGAATTATCAAAATTTCCGCAACACGTACCGCACGCGGCGACCGATCGTTCCTCTCGGTCCACTGCTCTCGTCCTTGGCGGAGCGGAACGACCATAGGGACTCGAGAGCTTCTTTCCACGTTTTATTTCCACGTTTCGAGTAATCCTCTTTGCAGCACGGGCGGATGAATTACCGCGAATCGTTGTTCCACGAGAACCGATAAAAATCGAACCCTCTGCCTGGACGAGTGCCCGCAAGGAGGGTTGCCTGCCTTCGCGTAGGATCTCGGAGCTCGAAGGACGTTGGACCGTTTATGGATTGCTCGCGAGGAGGGCAAGCAGAACGCGTTATTAAACCGTAGACTACGCGCTTCGAAAATACCCGATGCACTCGTAACGAAATACCGTGACGCTTGGAGATTAATCTCGCAGATATTCGCGATCGTCGGGACGCGTCTGAAACAGGGGCGAGACAAAAGAACCCGGGCTGGAAAAATAAAGCAAAGACACCTGACCTACATGAGCGGCGCGCGTAGGTGTAATCGCGGAGCGTTCGTGCAAAACGCCGCGACTTATTCCGCTCGGGCTCGTGCCGCACGGAATCCTACGTTCCGCTCGAGGAACGTGTTTTTCCTCGCCAATGCTTCTTCCCCGATCTTTCGTCCGTCGTTCCGGAGATGGAAAAACGAGCGGGAGCGCTGGCAGGCAGGGTCGAAAAAGTAGACGACTCGTCCCATCGCTCTCCTCGCTGGATTCCCATTCGGATTCGTAATTTATTCCAGCTCCGTGCATCTCTCCTTGCCACACCCCTTCGCATCCTATCCTTTCTTCTCCCGTTAAATCCATTAATTCTATCGAGTCTACCTGTGCGTCTACTTGACGCAGCAAGTTGCATCGTATTCTTCGAAGGGAGAAACTGGTAGACTTAATTTGCCACGAGATCGCGATTCTCCGCGAAGGGAAGCGGAAGAGGGAACCAATGGTTTTTCCCATTGGGGACTTTGGGACGCGGGAACGCGTGGCTGGTTGTTTGTCCGCGGTTATATAGAGCGGTGGAGCAAGCGCGCGACAACTTGCCACGAAATGGCAATATCGAACGAGGTTCGTGGCTCGAGGGAGAATAATATTGAAATCACTGTGGTTTGCGCTTGCAAGCACGACGACTGCGACGCCGGCGACGACGCCGTTCGTCGTCGCAAGTAGGCCAGCTCGAAATAGAAACCGACAACTGGGGCAGTCAATGGCCAACGTACGATCGTCACCCCACGTTCGCCACGTTTTTTGCTCCTTGGTCGTCGTCGTCGTCGACCACGTCTTCTTCGTCGTCTTTCTTCCCTCTTCACCCCGGGAATCGCGCCGTGCCGAACGCGCGCCAGTAGAATAGCCTAGTTCCGTGCCAGACACGAGTGGTCCGCCGTTTCTGCCACCGATTCCTTTGCCTCTCGACTCTCTTCCGA